AAAAAAAAAAAAAAAAAAAAAAAGAAAATAGCCAAAAAAAACAAAATGGGGTCGCATCTTGATAAGCGCCAGCACAAGATACGATACGATAAGAACAAATCTTCGACACTCTCGCTCTACTTACAGGGCTATTGCCTTGTCCACCAGTAGTTGCTGCGGGTGATGATGTCGCGTAAGTCATATTGGTCATGGGCTGCGCATTACTACCGGAATTCCTGTTCGCGTAAAAATCTTGTCAGTCACTCAGGGTTTCGCAACCTTGACCATATTGTTTGTAGGATAGAAGCGTAAGATGATAGATATTTCAAGGGTACTAGGTTCGCTTTCGACATGGGCGTAACGCGAAAGCAGCACATGATACCACTCCAAGTACATACCGCAGATTGGAAGTTGGGGCCGATGCGACCGAGGCCAGGGCCGACAGTCCTGACAGTGATGGGCCTAGGGAACCAGGAAAGTTGCTACCGTTGCTGTCGCTACTACCAGGGCTTTTATCCAGAGAACCAAACTCAGGAAGCGCTCCAAAATACTGCGACGATGCCGACGATGCACTCGCTACCGCGTCCGTTGTCGACTGACGAGAGGCGGACGGACTGTCAATTGAAGAAGCAGTATTGTTGTACTTGAGATCGTGAGACTGGGAGGCCGATGGCGAGGTAGGACGCAGGGCTGGGTCGATGGGCGACGCCCGGAACAAGAGTGAAGCCACTGTGAATGGTGTGGTGAAAAACCCCCTAGAAATCCGGCCTGAATTGACCGAATTGAGAGCAGTACGTGATTATTGTCGTATACGACTGAGAGGGAAATCGGTGCCGTTCGGAAGGACCAGCCACGTAGAAAAAGGGAGGAAAGATACGGAATGTTCCCGATTTTTTTAACGTAAAATGGGACTGTCCGTATGTAAGGTATACTGTAGTAAATATCCTTTCCTAATCTTAGCGTTGGGACGTCAAAGCCGAAGAAGTCAGTAGAAAAGGGAAAGGTCTGAACAGAGGAGATAGGGAGAATTCAACCAGATAGACTCCGGGAGGGAACGACAACGAAGAGGAGTAATTGATTTAGACTGATTGGAAGAAATAGCGAGCCAACCAGGCGGCAAATGTTAGGGAGAGCATACCTCTTTGATTCATAGGACAGAAAAGTCCAGTCGTGGCCAAGAAGTTCGTTCGTTACACGAGACGGAGAAGAGGTGGAAGAGGTTCTGGAGAAAGATTGATTATCGGGATCGCTATCGCGTGTCCCTCGGACACTATCGATTGTTATTTATCGGCGGGAACAGCAGCAATGCTTGGCCGTGGTTATTAATAAAACGTAATAATCTAAATCAGCTGGACCCTGCTGGTAACCTGAGTCGTATTTGTTCATACGAATTAACGTTATTTTTAATAATTTGCTATATGGTTGGTGTCTTTATCTCGTATGGTATCGGGGCTACTATTAGTATGAAGCTCCTGCGGTGCTTATTGCCTAGCTACTCTTTCCTGCCTCTAGGATTTATGCGCCTATGTATGCAGCACGCAGGGCTAGGAATGAATGAAATGGCAATCCACGCGATAGTCGCATCTCGCCCCTGCATCCCCCTTTCTTGCCCAGCATTTGGGGGTTAGATGGCGATTTTATGAAGTAGCAGAATTTCATTGAGTGTTTCCTAGATAGGCTCATATAGGCACGAGAGGAGCGCTAGGGTACTAGTATTGGCATAGCAATCAATAAAAGATCGTCCCATACCTCAGTTCGATGACACTAGTGATGGCAGATGGCTAATATCATGAGCTAGGCCATAACACTGATCCGGTTTTTCGCCCGTCTCTTGTCGAAGAGATAGATAGATAGATATATATATATATGGATAGATCGATGATCTTGTTAGTAATACCCATTTCAGAGCGAGGATAAGAACAGAGACATGGACCGTGATACATAGCCACCAATGCAGGTAATAACCGTGCTCAGAGCTTCGCATTGATGAAATATCAGATATAGAACCCCTAATGCCTGTCGGTTGGCTCGGTTCTTAAAGTGATTCAGAGTCCAGACATGACCGATTTCTCGGATGGGGTCTGTCGAATTCGTTATTACTTTTTAAAATCATGAATTCTTTCGGTTCAAACTTGATACAATGTATGTGATTTGCCATGCCCCAAATTTGTATACAACCAAAATCTACCGGCTCGATAGCAAAGAGGGTTGTATACACGACGTATGTTTACTAGCTGGGTCGGGTTCTGGGCCTTGAGCAAATGAACGCGACCGGTCATCTCGGATCGCCCTGTTGCGCATATTCTGGCTGAGGATAGGCAACGAAATAAGTATGAAGAGAAGTTGATCCTCTAAAATTCAGGGGCTTTTTTAAGCTCCGGTGGAGCCACACGGGACAGGGCTGTGGCGGTGCGGTACGGTAAAGTACCCGCTCTGTGGCTGGATCTAGACTAGCTATTCGCCTTTTGGCCCCATGCCACGGGACTTCGCGGTACGGTACAGTAAAGAGCCACCGTAGGTACTCTGTGTGTGTTGGCCCTTCAAGTTCTCGGTGGATGACGGCAGCGGTCTTATTGGCTCATTGGAGGGATCAAGTAAAGTTCCCTTCTCTCACCACCTAATCTACAATTCCTCCTCCCTCTTTTACTCCCCAGAGGGAACCCTTCTCTTACTTGCAATTTCTCTGTTGTGATTGAGTAATGCCGTGATTCGATTCGTTCTTCTTCTTCTTTTCCTTCTTTTAGTTCTTTCTCTCGCTTCCTCCTTCCTTTCTCTACCATTCCTTCCTTCCCTCAAATGCAACGACCTGCATTCGCCTCCCGGCCCTTCCATTAGACCACAGATACACCATGCCGAAGAACCGACCTGCAACATCGGGCTACGCCCGTCTGGCGCAGGAAGAAGAGGATAGAGCCAATGACTTGTATGATTATTCAGATGACGATGACCTACACGATTCCCTCGGCACAACTTCCCACTCCGCTCCCCGATATGCCCCCATCTCCTCCCGCGCGCAAATGGATGCGTCTATTCTGTCTTCGCCCCCAGGACATCGTCGGAGACCGAGTGGCTACCATCGCCGAGGCCGGAGAAATTCTGGGGTAGATATCAAGGCCATCAATGCGCGCCTCGAGCGGTGGGCCGAAGAGATCGCCTCCAAGTTCAAGATCAACAAGGTCAAGGGAAAGACTTTGGAGGAAGAAAAGCTTGAAATCTACCACTCCGTGTTCCAACCCCCGAATGGTGTAAGACCGATCTCCGCCGAAGAGCTTGAGTCGGATGAAATTGAAGGCGCAGCGCGAAGGGCTCGGGAGGAGTTCGAGGACATTGTAGAGAGTGTCCACTCAGCCATACGGATGGGGATGCACCCTCGGATGATTTCTCAGGGAAGCTCTGGTAGTTACTTTGCGCGCAACGGCGAAGGCAAAGTTGTTGGGGTCTTCAAACCCAAAGACGAGGAGCCTTATGCATCCCGCAATCCCAAGTGGACGAAATGGATTCATCGAAACCTGTTCCCATGTTTCTTTGGTCGTGCCTGCCTGATTCCTAACTTATCATATGTCTCGGAAGCAGCCGCTTATGTCCTCGACTCTCGTCTACGCACTAATCTCGTCCCCTACACCGATATTGTGTGGCTATCCTCGAAATCATTTTACTACGATTTCTGGGACCGGAGAAAGGCATGGATGGGCAAGCGACCCCTCCCCCCTAAGGCGGGTAGCTTTCAGGTTTTTCTTAAGGGCTACAAGGATGCGAATCTCTTCCTGCGAGACCATCCCTGGCCAGACCAGACCAATACTGGCTTTCGCGCGGAAGATGCCCCGAAGCGCAAAAAGCGGCCGTGGAACGAGGCTTGCCGTCCTTCTGGAATGCAGTCGGATGACGAAGATGAGGAAGATTATGAGAACGGAGATATACAAACCCCATCACCAAGGGAGGAGAGTAGGGAGCGGCGATTCTATTGGACCGAGGGTCTCAAGCAGTCATTCCGCGAGGAGTTGGAGAAGTTGGTGATTTTGGATTATATTATGCGCAATACTGACCGTGGGTTGGATAACTGGATGATCAAAATCGATTGGAACACCGAAGAAGTGTCTATTGTCGCCGATCCACCGAAGCCTAACGGGACTCAGCAGGACGACGACGACGACGACCATCTTCCTCCCGCTCGCCCCGTTTCTGTCAATTCGGAGCGCACGGGCTCTGCTCCTCTTCCCTACAGGCGACACGAGGCAATGGTGGCGGTGAGTCGCACTGGCACTCCTCTGAACTCGTCGGAGCCCCAAGCGTCTATTCAGATCGGCGCTATCGATAACAGTTTGTCCTGGCCATGGAAACATCCTGATGCTGTAAGTAGATTGTGAATTGGCCTAATCGCATCAAATTGCTCACACCCTCTAGTGGCGAAGCTTTCCGTTCGGCTGGCTATTCCTTCCGGTTTCTTTGATCGGACAACCCTTCTCTCAGAAGACTCGGGACCATTTCTTACCTCTCTTGACCTCAACATCCTGGTGGAGCGGTACGCAGATGGCGCTGCGACGCGTATTTTCTCAAGACGATGACTTCAAGGAGAGCATGTTTGCAAGACAGATCGCAGTCATGAAGGGACAGGCTTGGAACGTTGTGGAGACGTTGAAGCAACCTGACCATGGACCCCTAGAGCTCACACGAAGAACCCGTGTGTGCGTCTGGGATGATCTCGTGGACGTCCCTGTTGCTATTCCTCTTCGTGGACCATCGACGGAAGCCCAAAAACGCAAGGTGAAGAGTTACGAGAATTACGACTATGACCCTGACCACGAAGAGATGGATATTGGTGCATCCATGTCGCTGGGGACCGGTCCCGAGAATGATCTTCTGGGTCTTGGATCCTCACCGAATGAACTGCCCAACCCCAACCGATTTGAATTATCACGTGGCCGATCTCACGAGCCTAGTACACGAAGAATACAGAACGGCAGTCCTGCCACTATTGGCGACTACAGGGTCAGTCAGGATGGCATTGACAGCATAATACATGGGCGGACTATGGACCAAAGCTGGCCTTCGCTTCCCGCGCGGCCTGGAAACAAACATCAAAAGCACAGTTCGATATCCAGTGGGCGCGGTCAAGCACAGCTGATCTGGAGTAGTGATGATCTCGAAGGAGATCTTGGATATGCCGCTGCAGAAGGGATGGAGGGCAATCAGCGCAAAGTGATCGTTGAGCGGTTGGAAGCTGTGAAGAGTAAAAATCCAGTTTTTACCTGGTGTTGAACGAACGTCGACATGCCATGTTCTCATCTCGCCTTTTGTCCTTTGATTTAGCCTTGAAGGTCTCTTTTCTTCTCTTCATCTGTCATCATGATCTTGATATCATCTTTTAATTTAGCGTGTTATGTCAAACGGCATGAGGAGTCCTTGTTGCTGCAGGGTGCAGCCTTGGTTGGGAAAATCACCTCCATGTTTGTATATAGACTTGATGTCACTCCTCCCATAATATTATGTTTTGGCCCGAGAGGATGATATCCTTTGAAATTCGCTTATGTAGATGCATTCGATAGCGTTAGAATATGCAATATGAACCTTGATAAATAAATTTCGAAAAACAGACGTATACTAATGAAGTTGTCTCCATTGCTCAACTACATACAAGTTCAACACAGTCCATTTGCAATACGAAACACGACGCTACACATTCTCGCATGCATGGCATAAATTCTCTACATGCGTGTACATACAGACAGGCAGACCCACTAATAAGCCAACGTGCTAAGACCGCACAATGACCTATCATATTTGACCCGAGAAACTGTGGAACTGATACATACAAGCTTTGCTTGGCCTTGCATATATAATATCAATAAGAGGGACTGGTATATTCAGGGATTTCTTTTATTCTTGGTTTGGTATGAGGTTTTAGCTGTGGATATATTCGTCAGCTAAATGTTGGAGTGCATCTAACCCCTATTCCTCGAATGCTGAGACCATTCGATGGAAAAGTCCATCTCTCGCGAGAAGACGCTGTGGTGTATCAAACTCAACTAGACGTCCCGCGTCTAAGACGGCAATTCTGTCGAAGTTGCTGATCGTGTCCAGCTATTTGAGTTCGTTAGCTCTCAGTACCTCAATGACTGATGATGATAAGGTAAAATAGCACAGCTATGTGCCTCCTGGGTAGCAGGGGAAAGAGAACATACCCTATGAGCTACACTGACAACAGTGCAGCCGTCAAAAGCCTCCTTTAATACCTGTTGGGTGCGATGATCCGTCCCGCTATCAAGGTTGCTGGTGGCTTCATCCAAGATCAGGACCTGACATTCACCTTTGCGGGTTCGTTTCTTGAGAATGGCCCGTGCTAAGCAGAATAACTGTTGTTCTCCTTGGGACAATGGGTGATCCTCGAGAATGGCATCCAGACCTCGGCTTTCAATGGCTTCCCAGATGCCAACTTGCTTTAGTACAGATGTGATATCTTCGTCGTTGGAAGCGGCCATGATGTCTGCGTTGTACCGTACGGTACCTAGGAGCGTGAATGGATCTTGGGGGACGGCTATTAGGGCCTCGCGGATTGCTGCTGGAGAAATACTGTCGATATTAATCCTGTCAATGGTGATTGATCCATGGGATGGGTTTACAAGGCGGAGTAAGGCGAGTATGAAAGAGCTTTTACCGCTGGGAAAGGACACGGCGTTAGAAGAGTAGTAGACTTTTATGATGGCGGGAAGACATACCTGCCCGTACAGCCACAGATACCTATTCTCTCGCCCGGTGCGATGCACATCGAAATGTCACACAATGCTGACGTTCCATTGGGGTAGGAAAGAGAGAGGCCCTGGATGTGGATTGCTCCCTGCTCAGGCCACGACACTGGTGGTTCTGAAGTTTCACCGGGCCGAAACTCATACGGCGTGGTCTCTACAAAGGACTTCACGCGGGCAATTGCTCCGAGTGAGGTTTCAAAGGTAGTCCACGATGTGATGAAAAACGATAGTAGCTGGTTGAATCCCAGAATATTGTTCAAGGCTACGCCGAGGAGGCCCGCATTGGTGCTCTCATGCAACTCCACGGCTAGTGCCACCACAATGGTCGCCAATGCCATCACCACAATATCCAGTACCAGATTTAACCATCTCTGCGCGCATAATAGCATGTAGTATGGCTTTTGGGACTGATCCAGGTGCTGAATCAGAACTTCAGTCGACGCGACCTGCCAACCAAAGGCTCGGATCGTAGGCAATCCATCAAGAACCTCAACGAAGTGAGAGTACAAGGGACTTCGGCACTCCAGGTCGAGGTATCTCAGCTGTCGACTGGTCTTCAAATATATCTTCTGCAAGAAGTATAGGACCACCAATGTCACCGGTATCGTGATGGCCATGTATGCTGAGCCTGTCGCGATCAAGCCTGCAGTAGCGATGCATCCAAAAAACGATTGCCCCAAAGACATTAGAGATATAGGCAACGCCAGATCTACCAAGGTCATGTCCTGACTGAAACGGTTGAGTGTCACACCACTATCGGTCGTGGAGAAGAAGGACAGAGGTGCTCGAATGACAGCGTTCAGTAGCCGCCAATGCAAACGGATGGCCGACTTTGGCATCAGTTCAAGGAAGATGGCCCAGATGCAGCCCAGGACAAGCACCGATGCGGCCAGTGCCAAAACAATATAGACAGATAGGTATAGCGGAAGTTGGTCGCCGCCTGCTTCGGTCCACTTGCTTAGCCATACTCGCGGAAAGTTCTCGGCGAAGGCTAGGAAGGCGTGGGCAAAGAGGAACACGGTACATAGAAAAGGACCAATAATTCGTGCATAGTAGGAGTACACCGATAAATCTCCGATTTGCCTGGTTCGATCCTCATTTCCCACCTCATTCCCCGGGCCGTCGGACGATCTAGCTGCCTCATCACAAGTCTTCTCCTTTAGACCGCCCTCTTCAGCACCCGTATCTTCTATTCCGCGAATTATAGCTGCGTATTGAATGGCATCCATACCCATTGTCTGAAGCTCGACCTGTCCATCTGCACTAAGTGAGATTACGCTGTCTGCCACCTTAAGCAGTTGGGCTAGAAACATATCAAGGGTTAACAATCTTGGAAAAAGCACAAAAAAAAAATAAAAAAAAAAGGCAGGAAAACATACGGTTGTGGGTTGTAAGGACCACTGCTGTTCCCAGTTGGCGAAATATTCCATTATCCGAAAGGAGTCGTGCAATGATCATCTCCTGAGTCTGCATGTCCAAGGCGGATAAGATGTCATCTAGCAAAGCTATATCCTGGCGACTGTATACCGCACGAGCCAATGCCTACACAGTTAGAGTGGAAAGGAAAGAAAGCAAGTTAAACAAAAACTGGACCCTTATGGCATACCACTCTTTGTTTTTGTCCACCTGATAAAGTAAGGCCTTTGCTTCCAACTTCACTCTGATCTCCGTCGGGCCAGCGGCGAATGTCCTCCTCTAAGCAGCACGAACGTATGACGGTTTGGTACCACTTCTCATCCAATTTGTGATCTGCGAGGCCAGTGATGCTCTTCTTGATTGTTGTATTTAGCAACCAGGGGTTCTGGCTGCAATAGGAGATGCGCTTCGATTCGACAGAGACAGTCCCTGACTGACAGCCAAGTTCACCTAGGATTGTCTTGAGTAGAGTTGTCTTGCCTGAACCGACAAAACCGGTTACTACTAGCAGATTGCCCCTCGTTACTTTGAAGGTCACATTCTGTAGAGCGACAGATATTGCCTTTGGTGAGGGTAGCGCTGTGACGTTGTCCAATTTGATGGCAACTTCTTTCTCTTTATTGTCAGTTCGCGGTGCGAACCCTTCTTCATCTGCGTCGGCCGGAGAGATCGCCGAATTCAACATTAGGGCTTGATCACGTCCTAATCTACCATCCTTTACTGGGTCCGATGTTATATACTCGTGAATACGCTGAAAGCACCCCATGGCCGCCGCCAGCTGTGGTAAAACGGCGAGAAGCTTTTCTGCGGGTGTAGTAACGAGAGTGATGATACTCAGCGCCGTAAATGCTTTCACTGTAGTTAGAGAGTCGTCACCTCGGATCCGTGCTTGGATCGCATAAACGATGAAGGTGATGACAGAGGACCATATTCGGGGCAAAGTTGCTGCCACTGTCAGACTAGCAGCCCGTACAAACAGGGTTCAACATACCTAAACCGTTGAGCCACATTATTCCTTTGAAGAATGCTCGAGATACAACCAGCTTCCCGTTCACGGCGCTATTGCAGGTTTTGGGCCAGCGCATTTGAAAGCCCCGAGACCTTGATTGCCTTCGTGGAACCCAGAACGGCTGAGGTATTCTTGACCCTCGTCTGGATCTCCAGGTTCCAGTTCTGTTGGTCATTTCCGATGGAGTTTGCCACCAACTTCTGGCCAATTAGGCATGCTAGATAAGAAGGTAAGTACTACATTGTTTCATTGATGGTATATATTCCACCTGTGACTGACCCAGTGTAAGAAGTAATGGAACGATACAAGTCGCACCCAGCTGAAGACCAAGCAAAGTTATGCCAATAGCCACTTCTATCGTGCGGGCCCAGACATCATTCATGTTCTCCAAATGCTCAATGATGCCGTCAACATCTAGCCAAAGCCATTTTTAGATAAGCAACTGCTCATTTTGTCGGGACATAGGAGTGCACTTATTTACTCACCAGTACTCATCAGTGTGAGCGCGGCACTTTCTGTGTAGAGACCATCTTGGTGTGTTAATGTCCGGTCATGAATTAACGCGATCATTGCGCCTCGGAATAACGTGGTCACCCGGGAGAAGCGCTGTCTGTAGTGGACATTCGAGAACTACGATTGCAATGAGAGATGACCTGTACATATAGCACAAATAGGGGCCTACCGCGATGCCCAGATAAACTAGGAAGGTTGCCCCAATGAGGCCATAGCCACGATTCTGGGTCTTTGCAGTCATCGGTCGCTCTACATGCTGAACCGCCGCCATGATCAGAAAAGGCTGAGCGAAGCTGAATCCAATCAAGCACAGTCGAGGCCACACCACGGCGAGAAACTCCATCCAGAAACAGCGAACGAATACCCAAGGTAGCGAGAGCTTACTTTTTGCGCTCCCTGGAACGTGTCAGCACATTACACATGCGACAGTTGCAACCAGTAATAGAGATGAACAGACCGTGTTTCTCCCACACTCTCTTAAGTCGTTCGCCCGCAAGGCCAGAGGCAAGCCCGGGTTCAAGATCATCAAGGTCTCGGTTCCCCATGAGCTTCTGCTACCCCGTCATGAAGAGCCGATTTATCCACCAAACAAAGCTGAGATTGACAATGCCGCTGGTTGCCTCCGGAGGATAGTCCCTGTACGGGGACTTGAGGTAAGATGCCTTCCCTCGCATCTCCAGCAGTAACATGGCGAGTTTTGTCCCGGTAATGGCGCTCTGGACCGCTGCCATGGGAATTCGATGTGTCAGCCATGATGTTCGAACTTGTGTTGCATCGAACAGTATTGAGAGAAGTAGATAAATAGTTAGTAGAGAAGAGGGCCTCGTTGATTTGCGGTCTTCAACATAGGAAAGCCCAATAATTATGATCGCATTGACGAGGCTTAGAGAGGCGGCGGGGATGCTCGTTGGGGTCCGTGAGGATGGTGATACGCTCCATAACACCGGCAAGGATACTTGTAGAGCTAGGTTGATGGATGAGGCGATCTGGAATTCATCAGACAGGAGTCACAATTCCGAAGTACTTTGTGAGATCGTTCCCACCAGCTTGTAGAGACACTTCTTCTGCTGAGAACAGGTCTCTAAGTGACACCGAGTGAGATAGAGCAGTCGAGGTGGTCCTGCTAGCAGCAAGACTGTGGACGGGATGATTGACAGGACAACCTGCTCGAAGGTCAAGGTAAAGTCAAACCCACGCAAGTTACTGACAGGCCCTAAAGCGTCTTCTGTCCACGAGACGGTAGAATCATTGGCCATTTCTTGGATGCGGGAGAAAGAGTGATGGTCAAGTAATACCGTGGGATCGTAGGGAAGCCATAGAAATAGTAGGTAGGGCTCGCCAAGGCGATGACGCGCCGCAATGCTGCCTGAATAAAGAATCCCTGTATGGATTGGGGAACTACGGGGCTTTAGAGGAGGAGGTTTATGATTTATTTGTGTTGGCCTATGAGACCTCATCTCACCCAATCCGGCCGTCTTCTAGGGCTACTATAAAGTACTTATAGTCTAAGTCTGTCATAAAGCTATACTATAGGTATATTATGAGCACGGTTCTCGAACATTCTTGGGGGTCACCAATAGATCAGCCTCCTTTGTTTGCGGAGACCCCTTCGCGTTGTTATATTTCTATAATCTATACTCTTAAAAGGGGGCCCAACGGTATTATCTTAGACAGGAAGAAGGAGAAGGTTTGCCCTGAATTGTGTCAATGCATACAAGTTTCTACAGGGAAAAAAATGACGGGAGCGGCTCTCGGTGACAGCTCGACTCAGTGAAACAACTCACAGACAGGAATAGTCCTTTCCTTGCTGAATTATTGCTCTGCAAGTAGTGCATGTAATATTGCCTGTATGTCATTACATCGATTAACTTTCACTGGGATGAGTTGCCAGCCTGAACGGCTCCAAGTATAAAGCGCATTGGGTGTGGTATACGGAGTAGTAACTATTAATTCCCAGCTCAATAACTAAATACATGTGCAAAGACGAGATTTATTAATCAAGCTTAGCCGGGAGTCATTCCATATATTTAGTTGTATTGTCATGGAGAGCATAAGAAAGACTACATGGTGACTAATAAGCGAAGAATGATACTGGTTTATATAGTGAACATTGAGATGTGCTATGGTTAGAAACAAATGTAACTTAGGGTTATTAAGAGTGGAAGTTATCTTCATTGTTATTATTTACCAATTAATGAAAATCATTACTAACACTACAAGGCAAGGTGGCCGAGTGGTTATGGCGCTGGTTTTAGGTCTTCACCAATCACCAGTGGGAAACTTCGCGGGTTCGAATCCCGTCCTTGTCATGTCTTTTTGGTTTTTATTACTTCCGTAGCTGTCAGCGATTACGGTGCCGTGTGTCTTTGTTTTTCTTTTTCACTTTTACTATTTTTTGTCCAAGCTTGCTCCATACCTACTAGCACTTGTTGGTTCGGATACATGGAAAGATGGCCAAGCTGTTGAGTAATCTCCCTTGGATATGCTGGGTCGACTTCACCAGCGAGCACCTTATGTTTATCGCCAAGGGTCCTTGTAAAGTGTCTTCATAAAGACATAGATATGATCACTAACCTAGATCGCCGCACAGCTCAGTTGGAGTTACTAAAGACGTATAACACCTCGATTCGCTTACGACGGCATGACTTTGAAATTCTGACCCTAGTAGTAGAAACGTTTTATGGAAAGAGCAAATTCTTGGTATCGCATTTATCCGTGTATCACTATGCTGTATAAATCTTCTGTGTTCGTAGCAAGCGCCAGAAAAAGCAAATGTAAAACCACGGGGGATATATTAACGCCGAGTGTAAACCATTGGGTATCAGGTATTATCCATGTTTGTATCGATTGCAGTATCCGTCTCTATGGTGTGCGCATCAAGGTGGACGCAGGTAGAAAAAGCGAAAAGGGAAACAAATGAAATACCGGAAATAAATAGGGGAATCGTGGAAAACAGGGTATTAGTATCACTTGAATAAACTTCGATATTCACGCATCCGTTGTTCTTGCACCTCTCTCTTATCGAGCTTCCTCTGGTTCATGCTCATATCGGCCAATTGCTGCTTCTTCTTGGCCAGCTCGAAGATCTTCTCTTCGATACTATCCTTCATCAGGAATTGTACTGTAGTCACTTCGCGCGTCTGCCCGATTCTATGCACTCGATCAACTGCTTGTGCCACGGCTGCGGGGTTGTATTGCGGTTCCATGATATAGACTCGAGATGCAGCAGTCAAGTTTAGACCGACGCCACCGGCACCGATAGTCGCGAGGAGGATAGTAATGTCGTTATTATCGTGAAACTCCTGGAGGGCTTTTTGGCGAGCTGATAGGGTCATCGTCCCGTCCAAACGGGTAAAGCCCGTGATGCCGTTGTCTTTTAGCGCAATCTCGATCAAGTCCAGATGCGACGTCCACGCAGAAAACACCACACTTTTGACAGGACGTTCGTCCGTTAAACCCTTGCTCTCATCCGCCGTATCCAATAGATACGCCATTAGCGCCTTGGTTTTCGTGTGCGGACCTTCGTACTCTCCTAGGGTCTTTGCCTGCTTTTTGCTCTGCTTGGCCTGGGCCTGGCCCATCATATAGTCCTGTAGCCCTCCAGGGGTGATGGTGGAATATGAAACAGGGATCCATCCATCACATACCTGGCATTTGATGTCATGAACTGATGGCCCCGTTTGGCTGTCAAACGCTTGTTTACAACCAGAGAAACACTCGGGGCAAAGTACATCAAAGCAAGGAAGTATGATCGCCATTGGTGCTTGGCGGTCCGTGGTACCAGAATCAGTATTTGGATCCTCAAGACGTTTGCCACATACGGCACACAGATCTGCTGACGACTCTTGCATTAAGGTAAACATCTCATACGCTTTCTTATCTACCAGCTCTGTTGTATCATTCCCGCCTTCTTCAAGGTCGATGGCGTCGTGGACGCTCAATCCCTTAATCCTTGCGCGATCATTACTGTCGAGAAGCTCCTTACCATGGGCACTGACTTGGCGTAAAATTACCATTGCCTTTAGGATATGATGATACATCCGACCTTTCAGTGCTGTCTTATCCTCGCCGGCAATTACCTTCATCATCACGTTCGACTCTCGTCGGAAGAATTCATGCAGCTGCCTCTCTTTCTCAGAGAAATTGAGCGTTATGATCTTGTCGTACCGGGTGGGGATGTCAATCTTGTCCTTGACACGGCGCAGTGTAAACGAATCTACAAGCACTCGCAAGCTTGCTAGAACCGTGGCATCTCCAGTCTTGAATCGACTCAGAATATGCATCCCGAACTGCCCTCTGTCATCGTAGGGATTCAAACCAAGAAACCTGGTCACCGAGAAAAGGTCCTCTAGGCGATTTTGAATAGGTGTACCAGTTACAGACCACTTCCGCTGAGAGTTCAGCTTGAAAATAGCCTGTGTCTGTGCTGCACTCTGCTCTCGTATAGTATGGGCTTCGTCCAGAACAATCCGAAACATATTCATCTTCGTTAACGGACTCCCGGGGCTCCCATTTCGTTTCGACCCTCGTCCGGAGAGCTCGCTGAGAATAATGCTGTATGTCGTGATAACTAGGTCATATTTAGACAGCTCATCCACATCGGTGATTCTCGATTGCCCGTGGAATACGTGGTAAGATATGGCATGTTCTTTTAGGTGCTCCTTGACCTGGAATGTCCAATTGTTGACAGCACTCAGGGGAGCTACTAGAAGTGTCGTTTTGGTGTTGCGGATGCCCGGCAGATTTCGAATAAGGTCTGAACTTGGTGCCATATTTGCCCACTCGCGGGCGTCTCCCAAAGAGGATACGACAAGAGAAAGAATGCTCAAAGTCTTCCCAAGACCCATCATATCTGCTAAAAGACCACCTAGGCTCTGTGGAGGTTCGTCATCGCGGACGATGCCACTAATGATTTCTCGATACCGCCTTGCCCCATTCGAACGATGCTCCAACCTCCAAAGTGAGTTATTGTCTTCCTCCCTAGGCCCAAATTTGCGCGGCTTTTCCTTTTCAGTCATAAACCAAAGCGCCTGCCTCTGGTGGCGGAGCAATGGGGTTGACAGAAGCGAAGGAGGTTCTAGTTCGGGTATATTCTCAGCGCTCTGGAGTTGATCGAACATCTTCATCACTGCATCGTTCACCTCTTCTGCTGTGCGGACTTCGTAGTTGACGGTTGATCGGCCCCTCGCAGCCACATTTGGTAGGAAGGATGCGGCCGTTTGGGCGCGCCTTCTCTCAGCGTGTGGGTTGAATACAGGGACGCCCTGCTCTACAGAAAACGGGGTACCAAGCCAGACATTATTCTGGCCAAGGTGCTTTCCGACTAGCTCGGCATCCTTCCGAAGGCCGTAGAGGTTGATAGACGCTCGATACAGGGCCGAGCAAGGTGCCCACGGCCATTCGTTTGCCAGTCGCCTTCGAACGTCCAACCGAGCGGTAACGTCAACTTTCAAAGCAGGTGAATCGAGAAGAGGAGCAATCACTACAGCGGTCTTGGGATCTATTGCCCCAAATATTTTTCCATGGGGGTCTGCAACCTCGATCCGATTATTGCCTTGATTTGTTTGTCGGTGCACTCCTAATTTGATTGAGGGCCAATCGTGTGCCGAGTCCCCAAAAATGGTTTGAGCTGCAGGCTTTGGGACCAGTACTGCTTGCACCATTGCGTTTTCTAGCTTGCCATAGCAAACTCTCTGGATGCTGAGATTATTTGAACCCGTGACTTGTAGATCATCGTCATCAGTTGCTCCAGCGGAGGAATCTAAAACAGCCATTAGCAATAATACTCTATTCGAAAAACCTGTGTTTTGCTCACCAATTGTCAAGTCAACGACGTTGGGGGTGATTGGTGTGGAGGAATTCGACTTCTCTTCACCGTCCTTCATCCATTCACCCAACCCGGTGGTCCCAGTCGACGTAAACATCGCCTTTTTCCCGCTTTGAGCCAAGTCTTTCTCTGTCTTTATCTTCTTGTACGGCTGGTTCAGCCGTCTTTCCACGCCATACATATTCTCGATGAGGTTCCCATGGCGCACTTCATCGACATGATCGGAATTCCGCTTCCCGTCACTGGTTTCCTCCTGCACGCTTGTAAATACCACATCCACATCAGGTCCACACGGATCGCTACGTTGTGGGGATTCCCTTGCACTATCCCCACCGCGCGAGGAAACCGACTGTGGTCGCGATCTCGACTTCGGGCTGCCTTTATTGGAGGGCTGTCGACGTTGCGGGTTGAGAAGACGGTGTGCCGTAGAAGCCGTGCCTGCCGGCGCAGCAGAGGAATTCAAGTAGCCTGAGTTCTGGGAGCCTGTCTCGTAGATAAATGAGCTTTCGGTGTCGACAAGACTAGGGTTCATAAATATGGGATCCTGGGGAGGGGCGGGGCAGTCTCTGGACGTTGTGGGAAAGCTTAATCGCTCATATGCAGCCCCCAAACTCGCGTCGCTCTGACTGTATAACGAAGGAGGAACAGGTTCTGGGTCGTTACCATCTTTTTGTAGTTGTTTCTTGTGGGCCCGTGGGTCCAACAGCATGGCGGCGTTAGATGCCATGATGCAAGCCCCTTATGCAAGTAGCCGACAAAGGCCTGCGAGTTCGATCGTGGTCGCGCAGTACAAACAAAAACGACCAAAGGTCGGGGCGAAGTGACTCGTTGGCGCTAAGGGCGGTCGAGGAAATCGCGACCGGGGGAGAGGCTGCAACATAGACTTCGGTTATGACGAGATGAAAGGTGGAAATGCGGAGGGAACGTAAGGAGAGACCTGTGAAAGCACTCTATTGCGCACTCCACATAAAGGCTTGCCAGGCCCCGTCGAAAACAGGGTGAAGAAGAGAAAGCGAGGGGAGGGAAAGACAAAAGCAAAGAGAGGGGCGTGACGTTAGTAAGTACTAAATAACCGTAAGAGAAGACGAAGAAGAGGGACTCCGCCTCGTTCGATATCGCGCCGATAAGATCAATTAGTTTTGGGATCACCTGCATCACAGATCACGCGCTAAACTGCTTGAGGATTTCAAGTCGTCGTCACTTTTGCCTCAATGACAACACAAGGACCACAACAACACTTCCTCACTTGATGTAGGTGTTGGAAGTGTATTTAATTTCCTCTCTATCTGTATCGGAGCTGCGTATGTCTTTTTAATCACAATTCTAGTGTTTACCAAGTGGGACTGTTCCTGCTAACTTACATCGCTATAGATCGCGACGATTACTCATTTAAATGGAACTGCTCGAATGGCTTGGGTCATTGACCATCGGCCGTGTACATTAACAAATTCGTGCGAGGGCCGGAAATCTCAATTGATTGAATCCTAATGGTAAAATATTTCCCTGCGGTTTGGACCATAGAGCGGAATGACAATATTCTATTGCTACCTTAGAATGTGGACAACTCGTCGACACAAAACGCATCATTTTAGTATGAAACATATACCAGACCCCATTCTCTGCAATCCAGCTACCTGAGAGCTGAAATGACAGGTTTCCCACTGTCAGATTGTATAAGCGTTCGGTTGGTCGATTCGCATGGCCATACTAGTCCAAGAGGAACCTTGCGTTACTGGTCCGCGATTTTGTTTATGGCGAACTATCCCCACTGGGGGGACAACTATTTGTCAATCAACTATTTTGCAAGTATTGTGCATTCTTCACCTCGTAGAGATAGCTGGCATGCTCTTAAAAAGACAACCTCAGAAAGAAGGTCCAGCTCACGTGACCAAAATTTCATGAGACAAGATGACTTCCAGAGTGATCGTCTGCTTTAGTCTTCACTCCATGGACTTCGACACCCTATATCAGCTTCATGAAGACGCCTCTCTTCACACATCATGTGTGCTATAGGAGCCCAGTATCCTTATAGATCTACGACCAAAGGATGTGGAACTCCGGGCTTCCCGCCCGTTCAGCCGTACTCAAGCCACACGCTAACCGTATTTGGGCGTGATAACCAGGTTAGTAGGCGGGGAGGGTTTGTTTACCCTAAAGGGGAAGGCCAAATTAATCAAGTGTAGTATAGGGTTACTGGAGAGTATAAACCTCCACTATCAAGCTAACCACGGCTAGTGCTGCCAGATAAAGGTGATATGTTGGACACAGGGGATCAAGAGCAAGTTAAGAGACTTAAGTCGGCAATACCAAGAAGATCAGACCGAGACGGCGCTATCCCTATCATGATCGGACTTCCGAAGCTCAGGGATTTGACTGAGAGTTAGGATAACTCACGAGTCATAGAAATTTATACTCTAGGTTGAGGCGAGAGGAGGAAGGACTAGCATGTCTACTTAATGGAGAGTGGAAAGAGCCTTTTGGCAAGCAAGCAGACATCCTGTATTACATACATGTCTCTTGGAACCAACCTTTCCTGTTAGATCTCGCGCACCGATATTTGTTCAGAGGGGACTAAGGAATCAAAGCTTGGTGGGAGATCTAAATGGAGCAGGGGCATTCTTATATCCTCTAAATCAGAGTAACCGTAGTTCTAGAAACGTTTGAGTATCCCAGCTATAAGGCCAATAGGAAGAACAGCGCAGTGTTGCCAATCAATCAACCCAACTATCTCATTCGACTCTGACACGAGAATATTTATTTGCCTGGAAAGTCAGGGTGACGTATAACCCGCCGATGTAGTGACATTTCCACCCTAGAGCCAACCCAAGGAAAGGCACCAGATTTAGATAATCAGAAAGGATTCTGATATAAGCACCATACGAGTCCTTGTTGGAATTATAGATCTCCCTGTATAGACATTTATAGGGCAGACGAGGCTTTCTGTAAAACTTTTTGCCCAAAGCAATTTTCTCGCTCACCAATGGCTGGAAATATATCGGTAGGTGACAGCCCTTTTAGTAGTTAATTATTAATTGACAGTGACACCAATAGTAAGTTCCGTATATATATGGCCCACTCACATAGTCCTCGGTCGATATCCAGTGTGCTTCTCTCACCATCCCACCAACTATAATGTCACAGTGTTATTAGCCCATATACAGAGTTCATGTACATCTACCCTGATAGAGTAAATCTCCTTCAATGGGAGATCGTTGCAATAGTATAGGTTCCTCATATGTTGGGAATTATAGTGACATAAGTCGTGTTTCCCCACTCAACAACTTGTCTCATCAGGTTGTACTGTTGGATGCAGTTAATATACAAAATGGTATTTAACTTCCCAATATGGGCGCTTATTCAACCCCAAGGCCACGCGGGCTTTATCTGCGAACAAGTTGGACCTACACGAATGGCCTATTTTTAAGACTCCCTTATTATTCGACTCAAAGGTATTATTGGCTAGTAATGAAAGCATCATGGAGCCCGCCGCGCTGTAGACTATCACGTCTTAAGTATCTCACCGATTCCGCCACGTATGTGGCTTGATACCGAGATGAAAAGAAGCATTGTTCGTGGGTTGGAGGTTATATGACGTGCAGTGTTGGCATCTTATTGTGGCATGAAGAGAGGTAGGCATGTTTCCTTCCTCTGATTGCTTTTATTTCTATTATATAGAACGGTCAATATCGCTACCGTATTTGTAAATGTACTGATGTGGCTATATACCTTCGCATACTTTTCTTGTTCAAGGCTCGTAGTGATCACTCCGAGCCAGGAATAGCACATAGTCAAAAGGTTAATTCACATCTTTTCTTGACGTATAGCCTTTCCCCACAAGCTATGCCGGTTGAGCTCCCACGAAAGCTACCAGATGACACCCAAAACAAAACTATGTTTCATTTTCGCCTATATATCAACCGCTGCCTTGAATCTGCCATGGGGGTCATATCGTCTCCTCAAGACGCGCAGTTTCTCGAAATGAGGTCCCCAAATCTATTTCTTCGCATGAGAAACGCACCAAATAGCTACTTTGGACTCAACCATACCTTTTTAGGATCATGAAAGTCCTCAAACCCATTTGGCAGGTAATGCACCTCTGCATCTGCCCCCAAAACCTTGGACGCTGCCTCAATGGCCAGATCTCGAGCAAGTTTCTCTTTATCTGGTCCATCGCCAGAAGGACATCCGGTGCCGAGGAGTAGAATATGTTTTCCGCCAGGAGGCCTTGGCCAGGCACAGCTCGCCATTGATCCTGCTGGGTCACGCTAGATGGGATATGGGGGTTAACTGGATTTCACAATGTGTACGCTTATTTGGTTCCGCTTACCGAACTCAATATCTCGAAGATGAGATAAGTGCAATCGGCGAGCGACTCGTCTAGATGTTGGATGTCCTCGGACCATTGGATCGCTTTGATAATGGTCTCCTTCGAAAGTTCACGTAGTAGTAAAGGTGCCCAGAATTGCTTCATGGAACCTTTGACTATATGTGCTTTGTCTGGACAGTTTATCAGCCTAACGTTCATGTAGCTAGAAATGGGATCGGATATCCATAGGCTTCATGATCTCACTTTGTAGATCCGCAACTCCAGCCAAAGTAGTTACTCTGGTTTGATCAACAGCTCCAGCAATGTCCAATGCCCATTGGAAGCTGGCCCGGCCGTGGGCTTCACCGTGGGCGTCAAAGGCATGGATCACCAGCATGTCCGAGTCCGTCCCAATAGACTCTAACAGCCGTTTCTTGACGACATATAGGAACATGGTGATCTTTGGATCAACTGGCTCGGAAACCAATTTTGCAATACCCTCCGCCACCTGGTGGAGCTGCTCCCGGGGGATCAGAATGGGACCCGCCCAGATATTCTGGGGATATGGGAACACTCGGAGCACAACTTGCACCACCACTATGGTATCTGTATTAGCACTATATATAGAAGGATTTAGGTGATATTTGATTGTGAACGTCACTTACCACCAAAGCCACCTCCACCACCACGGAGTGCCCACAGTAGCTCCGGCTCCCGGGAGGCCCATACAATCGAGCCGTCGTACTTGACCAGTTTCACATCTAACATGTTCGCCGGGTCAGAAATACAGCCATATTCACTCGAGAGCCATGAAAAGCCTCCACTGATAATGGTGCCTGCGACTCCTACACAAGGGGTACGGGCCCCCACGACTTTCACGAAATCATGTCAGTCTTGAACTTGAAAGCAAATCCTGAATAGTAGGCAGTATATATAATCTCACTTCCATAGTCCGGCGCTGCATCTTGCAATTTCTGGTAAACCTCCGCCCACGTCTGTCCGGCACCGATGGTCACCAATTCAGAATGCCTATCGAGGTGGAAATCATCGAAGGACGAGGTGTTCACGAGGACGTCCCTTGCTGATGCGGACATGAAGCCATGTCCATAGATGGCAAAATCCAGGCTCGAGGAGTATAGGTAGGCAATGGCCTTGCTTAGAGACTCAACCGAGGTGGGTCGAATGAGAAGGCGAGGGTTCATTTGCTTTTGTGCTGCCCATGTTTGAACCAGCGGTCGATATTCCGGTGAATCTGGAGTGATTATTTCATTGGGACGTAACAGCGACCGCAGGGTCGTGAGTTGATCTTCATTAACCATGTTCACTTTGTGCTCGTACTATGCTAGGAAAAATAATTGTTCGAGGGAGTGTATGGGTAATGCAATGCTATGAGCACACTATAAGTAGGACGCGGTTGGCGCAGTCTTTCTGGCCAGGTTGTCCGGTTGAACTATTCGGAGTAGGGATTGCATTAGTGTGGACCAGAAATATCCGGTGTTTCGTCCAATAACTTCAAATTGTACATGACGAGTATGGGCATCATCATCAGCATCATTATCATCATCATCATCATCATCATCACTCGACTAGCAGCTCAGAGCCAGTGAAATGACTTCGTATTGTTACCAGTGAATGCAATGAAGGTGGAACCGCGGATCGCTGGGTTGCCATTTTCGTTCGGAAGTCCGAACTGTGGGATCCAAAAGGCATTCCCAACCCTAAGGAACTCATCTGAAATTCTGCTGCAAATACCATATGGATATTTTCAAATCAATTTTACTCTCTACAGAGTAGATTCGATATGCGAAGAAGCTGCATCGTTTACTTGAGCAAAACCCAGATTTCCAAGTTCCAACACTGATCAACGACCCTTCACCACATTACTACTCTGTCGGCCTCAACTCAGCTACACGGCCATGTAACCAATATCCCACATGTTCACTTGCATTAACAACAAGAGTCGCCCCTATGCTGACCTGCTGAGCTATCTCGCGTACCCGCTTTGTACTCATATTATCACAAAACACCTCGCCAGATACCAGCTGCATTGCCGCAACTGTCTCCAACACCGCTCTCGTCGGTAGCCCAAGTGAGACGCACATCAGACGCAAAATATTCAGACGCCAAGGGTGTGGAAATGAAACACAGGAGATACATTCCTCCCCCAGTGCATCAGTCAAACGACCAGCAATCGCTGCCCGATAGTCGCTGTTCTCTTCACTTTGGTCACTCAAATCAAGAGAATACAGTGTCGCACCCGTTACTGCCGTTGCCGGGGACCGAAAAAGACAACATGACGATGTCAATGGTATCACGGTTTCCTTTAGCATCGGATCCAAAATCTTCTCCACGAGGTCCGGAGTGGGTTCACCCAAGCGCAGAGTACACTGTCGGTTCTGTAGACCGGGTTGCATCACGGATTCGTAGGCTGCTAAATAATCTTTCGAGCCGACATGGTCATAGAATGCCTCACGGTCTAAATACAGCTCCGTAAACTCGATTATGACAGGTTGATTCTGTAACTCCGCCGGCAACGGCGCCGATGGAGCAAGGTCTAACAACGCAGGGTCTAGTCCACGGCGCCGCAGGTCAGCCTCAACAGCTGGACGGGGGACGCCGATCTGAAGCTTCCGGATGGCAGCTTGTAGCTGAGGGTGATCGTTAATCGTCAAGGTTGCGGTGCATTCGTTGCTATGACTAAGGCGGAATAAGTACACGGGTACGCATGGCGTATCACGATGGGTAGCGGCGGCGCATTTGGATAGAGCGTCCAGGAGTTCCTGTGCTGCCCTTTGACTAGGTGCTTCCCAGAAGACGTGGAGGAGGAACGTTTGACCAAGACGATATGTGGTGGTTCCCTTTGGTTTGTCGATGAGAGCTTGTCGAGTCGTGGTCATCGTGTATGTGTCCCTATCAATGCCCCCTACTCATTGTTTCAAGGCGAGTAGACTAATTTATAAATCTCTATAACGTGTCCCACACACGAGCTGCCACGTCACGCGTGTCTTGGCTCCAGTCGAAATGCTCACTTGATCCAATCATCCACATAATATTGAAAGCGCGCCAAACTTCAGTCTCCGTACAAGAACCATGTTTGACAGATACTGCTTTCCTAGATATGCTTTGCCCTGTAATTAGATGGCAACCATTTTTTAGCATGCATGGGGTAGAATTGATTCATTATTATAAGTTAATTTACCATCATGGCAGGTTCTCATCCCAAGAAACAAAATAAACAACCGGAGATATACATACAAGCTACGCCAAACGTCGCATCGGCCACTCCCACATTCAGCGCCAATGCAAACAACCTCCGCTGCACAGAATCCCAGCATGAGCTGGTGATATGCCTTCCCGTAAGCAGCGTGCACGATCGATTGGTCGGACGTCGACAGTATGAACATGGATGATACATCTCCAGAATGCCAGCAAATACATGGGCATGTAATTGGGTCGTCAGTTCGTTTTTGGCTGTGTTGTTGAGCAAATTTGTCGCGATGGCTGGCTCGACCATCTCTGCCACAATGATGGGGACTATGCTGAAGATGTCTGCACCACCAACTCCCTGGAGGGTGCGACAAAGAATACGAAGCAAGGAAGTTTCCTAGCTATACTACTCTCAAAGAAGGACTCGGGAAATGTGTTACCTACAGTTAAATGGGGGGGTATTTGGAGTTCGTCTTGCATATAGTGCTTCTGAAGCTTCCCCTTTCGCTAGAAGCACAGCTCACAATCACTGTCAATTATATATACTGCCTTCATTGTAGGGCGATTTTCGCGGTAATTACTCTATACACCGAGTGCTACCTGGGCTGGTCGACATTGATTTTAGAGTATACCTGAACCAATACAGCCTTCTACTAACACTCCTTCACCATCACTAGGATTCCCGGCGTGTCGCGCGCCTGCGCCCCCAGAATATAATCACGACTCACATCGATGTCCCCGCTCCCGTTGTACGGCTGATACATCAAAATAAAACTGACGAAAGACTGCTGCGAGAATCAAAACGAGCTCTGCACGGGCGAGATTCATGCCCAGACAAGAGCGCGTACCCCCGACTAAAGGGCACTAAGTATCGTTCCAGTCGCCTACTGTCGGGTCCCAACCATCGCTCAGGCCGGAAAACGCGAGGCTCGGGGAAGATTGTCTCGTTGAGATGGGTGAGCATGGCTGTCATCCCCACGGTCGTGTTGGCGGGGATGAAGATTCCGCGGCACTGAAGCGGCTGGTCGGGAAATTGGCGGCTGATCCGGTGGGTGACGGAGTCACATAGACGTAGTCCCTCTTGTATCACGGCTGTTAGGTAGGGCAGTTGCTCAAGAGTGGTCAGGGTGGGAAACTGCTGGGGATCTGGGATGGTGGCCACGAGTTCGTCATGTAGTTGCTGTCGCACGGAGGGGTTGGCGGCAATATGATATGCCGTGCCACGCAACACATAGGCCCTATGGAGAGTTAATCTGTGAAGGCCTAACATGATAAGAGGATGTCAGATATGGGAGGGCATACGTGGTCCCTGAGCCTGCTGTCACCAAGCTAAACGCTTCATCACGCAGCCGATTGCGCTGCAGCTCTGCTGGGGGAAGTTTGCTGTCTAGAAGCTCATGGAAGACCGTGCGATGGCCAGCTTTCTTGTAGGCCGTATCCTCATCATGTCGAATGGCCTCCACCTGCCGAGATAAATCCTGTACAGGTTGCCGTTAGTGATTGTATCTAATGGGATCTCCGATCCGGTGGTCTTACCCGACGGAAATCTAAAATATCTGCCATGGCTGGAGCGAGGATCCTATTCACACGGTCCTAAACAGTGAAGTCTAATGAGTGTATATCTCCATGACATCAGGATTGGGAACCTCATACCGGCAATGAATAGGTGAAGCGCATTGCCTGCAAAGGGGAAGCATACTGCTGGATATGGTCCAAAAGCCTCCGCTACGCGCAAGGGTTTCTCGGCACGGCCATTAGCCTGGCTGAAGACCTGATCGAAGAAATCGGGGTCATCGATATGGACCTCGTCGGGGTTGATACGAATGACTGGGCCTGTCGCCGAACGATTAGATTGCATCCGCCCGTCCGTCAGGGCGTGGGATCTATACCATATTTGCGATGCAAGTTTTTGAGTTGGAAGGTGAACTGGCCACTCTGGTAAAGGTCATAGTACCATTCATAGAGATAGGTCTCCTGATGGAAGGCCGGTACTTTGTAGCCGTGGATCTTGGTCCACATCCACTCCTAGTGAAGGTGGAGGTGGAGAAAAGTGGAGGATAAATAGGGCTGGACGATCAGGGTTCGGCCTTTGGACCTCCTCTTTGGCTCTAGGCTTTAGGGCTCTAAGCCTCGGATATCAATATACACTACGTTTGTCATTGAATGTCTTTAAGGTAGAATTACTAGGGGAATCAGAGTCACTTCTAGAGAAGTTGTCAAATATATTCGATTTCTCTACTTTGGTAGATATAGGGAGGTATAATAGATCACGTCCACACCATGATCTATACTCTGCTTCCCAGACCCTCGCGCGCGGGGATGTGAATACACACTCAATTACCCATGTTTATAGGCCTTGTCGACGCAGGCGGCTGTTTCTTCCGGCGCGAAGGAGCAGTCCTCTCCATCGAGTCAAGGCATTTCCTAAAATGTTCAACCTTCTAGCAAAACAAACAAGTTGCAATCGTTGCATATTTTACTTTATGTGTGACCAGATTGCGTGCCCACTGGAGCATCAAAAACGTCGAATTCTAGCATGTTTGTCTGTTCATGGAGCCGAAAATATCGAGTCCGACCTAGCTTTGGTGCGGAATTTTAATTCCCCCGCCTTCTATTCTTTCTTCTCCAAATTATGAACTTATGTAACGGGAAGTTCTGATTCCTAAATTCATGCAGCGTCCGGTAACCACGTTCAAATCAATTGGCCAGTCCCCTACTGTACCCTTTAATGCTCGGTTACATTCTTCACACTAATGTAGTACTAATTACATGATCACATTGACCATTTTTACGCTATGAACCAAGCTAAGATTTATCCAAGACAGCCCTCGTTGATTGATAAGTTTACAACAAATGAGATAGTACTTTTTAGGATTCATACGGCATAAGGGGTTGGTTCAAGTCTTGACCAAAATGAACTGGGGTTTGGCCTCTAAGGCTGCCTCAGTATTAAGAAGCTAGTGGGGAACCAGCCCATCATCACAGTCCAAGGTTGATCTGAGAAGCCCTAAGAGGTACCAACGTAGATAATGGAGAAGCATAGCTACTAGATCAACCCTCACGAACAAGGAAGAGATAAACGGCTCAGAGTAGCCATGAGATAGAGTTATTTCCTATCCATAACATGTTCTCATACTTGTTTGAAAAGGAAACAGATCCATACTATCTAGAAAAATGGAATGAGGCCTTCATGGCAGTCCAGCAAGCAGTCCCGCTCCAGAGTGCCAAGCCTGATCCCATTGCAGGGCGATGCCCTCATTATTCATGTAGTCTCGCAGGTACCGGCCACTGACAGCTCGCCGAGACGTTAGATTTCACTTTGTACTTGATTCCCGAGCACACATCCTCTGAAACTAGAAACGCAGTCACTCCGGTGCTTTCACGCCCATACAAGTCATTCTTCAGTCATGCGGACCTTCACTCTACAAAATATTCTAATTAGCCAAGGTAGATTGTCCGGGGTAGTGGATTGGGAGTTTACGAAAGCAAGGTTCGGAATAATCAACAATGAGGCTTTGGAGATGATTATGCGTGATGCATTCGATGAAGACTACGGGGATGAGCTGAATGTGGAGCGGACCTTTTGGAGGGAGTCTCCATTTGGTATATAGAAATCAGAAAAGTGTCGTTTACTCCGCTGTTCGAAGACTCTTACAGCGCTTTCTAACATATAATATTTCAGTATACCAATGCTTCATGCTATGTCGGCTAAAACGCGACGGCTAAAATGAGATCAAAATAACCTCGGGAAAAGCTCAAATTAAATTACATACTCTAGGTAACGTATTTCACTAGCGGGATGGCCACACAAGCGGGATAGCCACCCGCCACCGATTTCCGTCTGCGGGCCAATTACTAGAGCCTTTTTTACCAAAACAGCTGTATTTCTATATGTAAATTAATTACTAAGTGATTTAGGATATCTAACTCTAGTATGTCCTCGAACATGACAATTAGAACACTGCGGTGGCGCTCGTACACGCGGCCTTACTGCAGAAAGCACTGGATCTATAGGAATAGTATCCTGAGCTGCCTGCACCTTATTTTCATACTGAAATCGCTCTAGGCCCTCCTGGAAAGATACACCTTCTTCTATAGCTAGCTGTCTAGCAGATCTCTTCTGCTTTTGGCTTTTCTATTTATTATTAGTACGATGCTTGCGTATTTCTTCCTTTACAAGAATAAGCTTATTAAGAGTTAATTTATGATCTTTAATAATCTTGTCTAATCGTGCTTCTAGTAAAGAAAAAGGGCTTTGAGCATATTCTTTAAGTAGTTTCCTTGCTGTAGATGCCTGCTTCTCTAACTGCCTAGTAGTATAGAGTGTTTTAGGCGCGGAATTGGTTGACTAACTGTCTGGTGGTGTAGGGGTCTTCAGTTGGATATCCAACTTACTTAGTACCCTATCTGGATTGAATAGAACTAGGCCAGTACCTGCAAAGCTATTCTGAATATTCTCTGTTATAAACACACTTTTGCGAGCCTCTGGAAAAATCTGTAGAAAATTAAGTTTGTCAATATAACTGACTTCTAAACTTATTTTCTGCTTTACTAAATTGTCGTACGTACCTTTTAGAGACCGAAAACAGCCTATATCTAAAGGCTGTAGCTTGTTGGAAGAATGTACAGGTATATAGATAGAAATAATATTATTCTCACTGTATATCTGATCAAATTGAGATATAAGATAGCTGCCATGGCTGTCTATAATTAAAAGACAGTATTTCCCAGTCGTACGACTAATAATAGCAGGAATAAAGAGATTTTTAAGCCAGCGAAGGCCTATTTTATTAATAGTCTATCTATTAGAACTAACTTCAATCCTGCTATCCAATAGAAGCTTTGGATTTTGATACCAGCCCTCTATATAGACCTTTCCTTTAAAGATAATACACGGAGGAAGTGCCCAACCGATAGAATTAATACATTCAATCGAAGTAATCCATTCCCGATTACCTGGCTGTACAAGACACGCTTTTCCATAGTAATCAACTCTAGTAATTACTCGAGCAGTAGCTACTAGGCCCATAGTAAAGCCAGTCTTGTTGAAATTATAGATATCTTCTAATACAATCTTATACTGTATTATAGTAATTTGTACACGGTCAAACCACTCTTTAATAATCTTAGGGTCTTTATATTTAGCGCGTCGATAATTATATTGTCAAGAAAAGTAAGATTTCACTTCAGAACAGTGTTTAACAAAGTTGATAACCCAGTTCACTTCGACTGACTGAATAGGTATAGTACCGCGGCCAGTAAAAAGAATATTAGCTATTTCTCGTGTATCTGATAGTTTAGGAGGCGCTTTATATTAATCTAGTGATAGAATCTATTGTATAAACAATTCCTCTTTATTTTGAGATAACTTATGGTTGTTGACGCGTGTTTCGAGATGTATTGGTATACCGTGTAGTCGGGTTTGTAAAGTTGAGTAAGAGATATTAAAAATATATATTGCTTCGCGAATACTATTGATTTCTTGATTTTTTAAAGCAGATATAGCAAGCAGAATTCTTCCCTCTTGCTCAACTAGATTTCTTGAATTTTGACGCGCTTTTAGAGGCATGATTGGTGGTTGAAGTGGGTGAGGTTTTCCACCGTGGTCAAAATGCGTGGGGTGGCTATCCCGCTTGTGTGGCCATCCCGCTAGTGAAATACGTTA